CCGCCGTCGCAGTGGACCGAGAGGAGGCGGTCACCAGCTCGGAGGTCCAGTGAGGGTGGACGGGCGTTTCCGATTTGACCGCTGACGATGATGATGGTGGTGGTGCAGAAGAGGTGTTTTGCAAAGCAGTCTTTGCCTTTGAAGCAGTGCTGCCCTTTCGCCCCGTACTGGTGCCGGTGCTGGCGGTGCTTGTGCTGGTGCTCGTACTCCTCTTCGAGGTGGACTTGCTCGAACTCTGAGAAAGTGAAGACTCAGGGCGTGGCGCTGCAGTGGTGCTCTGCTCCTCCTTGACCGCCTGGCTATCGGCTGAACGATGACTGGTCGATTGCTGGTGCTGGTCATCAGTGCTGACATTTCGGTGCTGTCGCTTCTTCAGCGGCAGAAAGCACTGGCTGGCCGCAGCCGCCGTCGACTGCACTGCCGTCGACGTCGTCAGTTTGCCTCGCAGAGCCGAGCTGCGACCAGATCGACTGGGAAACTTGACGCTGCTGTTGCTGCCGAAGGAGGCGGAGATGGAGGAGGGCACCAGCTTGGGCATCGTGAAGCGGAACATCGCCGGCAGATTGGCTGAGGAAGCTGCTCCGGAAGATGGTACACTTCTCCAGTTGCTGCTGCCTTTCGATGAGATGTGCAGTCCGCTCAGTTGGCTGATCAGCTCCTCAATGCGAGCAAGAAGAGCCGGGTCAAAGACCAGCTTGGACTTGGACCTGCCCTTTGACTTGGACTTGCGCTTCTTTGAGGACGATTTAGAGCTCTTATGAGATGACCGCTTCTTTCCCTTGGAGGAGGACTTGGCTTTGAAAGACTTTGATGAGGATGAGTGCCGATGATGTGAGGTTGACTTGCTGTCCTCATGACCTGTGGAGCTTCGATGTCGGGAGCTGCTGGACTTTGAACTGGACGACGATTTGTGGCTTTTTGAGGGCGGCTTACTGCTTTTTATGGCTGCTTCCTCAAGAACTGAAATGCTTACTGATTTGCTGCTGTTCGATGAAGCCGACGATTTATTGGCTTTTGTTTTGCCCTCTTTGCTGCCTGAAACAGCAGCAGTAGAAACTCTTATTTTGGCTTCAACCTCTTTATCAACCAGCTGTTTTTGTTTCCCCGCAGACTGATCGGCAGACGGTGCAGCTGTAGTAAGTGACTGTCTGTTGAGAGGCTGTCTGCTGACGGCTGCCTGACTTCCGGTGCTCTTCCGGGCAGGCGGCGGCTCAGTGCTGGCGTCCTTCACTTGCTTCTTCCCCCCACTCTGATCTGCCTTTGAGCTGCCTTTTGGCGCCTTCTTTGAGGAGGTGCTGCTGGTCGCCGTAGATGTCTCCTTTGTCCCCTTAATCTCCTCGCTTTTAATCATCAGCGAGAGCATCTTCTTTGAGTTGAATGTCGCCGTCTCCTCGCTTTTGTGCTCCTTCTTCATCAAGTCCTTCTCGACGACCAGCTCCTTCAAAGCAGAACTACTGCCGCTGCCAGCCCCACTGCCACCACCACCACATTCTTCGTCGTAAAAGTCAGGTGAAGAGTGAAAGGACTTGATGGACTCATTCACCGATCGAACGAGACTCTCAAACTCATCAGTGCCCGAGGTGGGTGAGGTCAGTCCGAGTGGTAGCTGCTCGGGAGTTTTCGCCACCATCATCACTGCTGCAGAAGCTTTTCCTCCACTGCTGCTGCTGCTGTTGCTGGTGGTTATGGTGGTAGTGCTAGCCTCAACAAAGCCAGTGTACGCCATGGTCGAAGTAGTGGTTGCTTTGCTGGCTGACGATGGAGTGGTGGTCACTGCTGTTGCGGATGATGCAGAAGGTCCACGAGAGTTCGAACGGCTGTCCTTGCTCTGACTTTCTCCTTTAGCTGCTGCTGCTTTCTTTGCAGTAGCCTTACCGCTGCTGGTTGTAGCCGTCTTTGACTCGGTTTTCACCGAAACGCCTCCTTTTCCCGCTCCTCCTGTTTTACCTCCACTGCTGCCTGCTTTTGCCGGCTTCTCACTAGTGCTGGTGGAGGTAGAGGTGGACGTCTGTTTTGAGCCTCCTTTTGCTGCTGCTGTCTGAACTGAAGAAGTACCACTGGGCTGTGCAGTGAGCTGAGTACCGCTGCTGCTGTTGTTGTTGCTGCTGATCGGAGAGCCGAGTTGAAGGGTCTGGTTGCGATGTGTCGGCGAGATGACCGACAGCAGGAGCTGCGTGCCGAGCAGCGAAGAGGGCGACGGCGGTGGTGGCGCCTGAATGGAGATCGGCTGCATTAGTTGATGCGGGTGTGGCGGCGAGAAGAGTGTGTACGGCAGATGAGGGTGCGAGTTAGGGGAGAAGATGAAGCTGTTCGCCAGGGGGTTGGGTGCTCGCAGTTGAGCCGCAGAGGCAAAGGATGCCGGCGAAAGTGTCGTAGTGACTGTCAGTGAAGAGGATGTGGGCGCAATGGGCTGGGCACTGCTGGACACTGCAGTCGACACGGTTTTACTGCTCGGTGTGCCCGTCTTTGAAGAAGTGGCTGATGTGGAGGTGCTGGTGGTCGTACTTGCAGTACTACTGCTGCTGCCCACAATCAAAGCGGCGGCTGAAGAGCTTACCGATGACGGCGAAGAGGACACTGCCGTCAGTGGGCTTTTAGCGGCAAATGAGCTGCTAGGCATCGTCGGCGGCAACAGAAAAAGCGTCTGTGGGTGTTGCTGAAAGATGGTCGACAGTGAGGGAGACAGCTGAGCGTTGTTGGCGCTGTTGGCCAACTGGTTCAGCTGATGCTGCTGCTGTTGCTGCTGTATCGTCGATAAAGTCAGTAGCGAGGACTTTAGAAGTTGCTGCTGTTGCTGATGTTGTTGCTGTATTTGCTGCTGTTGTTGTTGCTGCTTTGCCGCCGCCGCCGCTGCTGCTGCCGAAGAAGTCGCTTTGCTTCGTGAAGATGAACTCGACCTCGAGGAGGTGCCCAGAGACACCGAGGGACTGATGATGGAGGCTGAAGAGCTAGAGTTGGGAACGATTCGCGGCAGAATGAAAGGGTGCTGAGTGGGAGTGTGGTGATGGTGACCGCCGCTGGAGTTTGAAGAGGAGGATGAAGAGGAGGCCGTACCCGAAGTGGCCTTGCTGTTGCTCACAGTGGCAGCCGCAGCCGCAGCTGCAGCCGCCGCCCCCGAAGTGATGCCAAAGGCCATCATCAGCGGGTCCAGACTGCCCGATGGAAAGGAAAAGTTGGGCGAAAAGTTGAGCGACTTGGTGGGACCGACGAGGAGGGGCGTCGTGCCGGCGGCCACTGCACTGCTCAGCGCCGATGAGCTGAACGTCGGCGAGAGGAGGGCAGAGTGAGCCATCGGACTGAGGCCGGCGGGAAAGGCAAAGGGCGACAGTGCGTGCGCCGAGGCGTTCGAGGTGAGCGTCGGCGAGGTGAAGATGGTCAGCGACTGCGACTGAGCAGGGTGCAGAAACTGCTGGTGCCTTTGCTGCTGTTGTTGCTGCTGCTGTTGCTGCTGCTGCTGCCCTACCGAACAGGCAACGGCGGCATTGGCGGCGGCGGCGACCGATGCCAGCGCCTTCGAGTTGGCCACCGCCTGCTGCTGCGAGGTGCTCTGGAGAAACTGGTTGGGAAAGAGCGTGGGCATGAAGGCCGCCGGTGAGAAGGGATGGTAGTGCTGCGAGTAGGGAAAGGAGGACGCAGGCCCGGGCACGAAGAAGGACGAGTTGAGGAAGGGACTAGGCTGCGGGTGACTGGGCGCCAGCACTGCCGGAGCACTGCTCAGCTGTGTCTTCCCCTGCGACTGGGCGGCACTGGACTGCACCACACTGGAGACGGTGGCCACTGGTCGCTTATTGCTGCTGGCGGTGCTGGTGGCGGTACTGCTGGATGCGCTCTTGTCGTTTGCAGTTGTTGATGCTTTGCTTGACGCACTGCTGCGATCCTTCTTATTGCTGGTTGCCGATTGTTGAGACGAGGATGTGGCTGCTGAGGTAGTCGCAGTTGTGGAGGCACTTTCAGTCGCTTTTTTGGAGTTGCCCACTGCCGCTGAAGACGATGTGCTGCTGGCTGTAGTGGTCGCCCTCGAAGACGCCGAACTGGTCGCATTGGTACTGACAGTTGTGCTGCTGCTACTGCTGGTCGTGGCAGCCTCTGAAGACCTCGATAGGGACCGACTCTGCGAGAGGTGGTGCGGAATTCGGTAGCTCCGGAGGCGTTGTCTCTCCTCCGCTGGGTCTCGCTTCTTAAGGCTGCCCGACTTTGCCGAGTCATCCTTGCCGCTGTCCCGTCCACTGCTGCCCACCGACAGGGGCGACCCGATGGAGTTGCAGTCATCGGAGAGGACGGCAGAGGAGAGAGGCGTGTTGGCCTGCTTCACCAGCGACACCAGTGCTGGATTCAGCGGAGAGGCAATGCTGGAGGAGGTTGACGTGCTGCACTGCTGTTGGGAAGTTGAGGAAGAGGAGGAAGAGGTAACCTCCACGACCACCTTTGGCGGTGCCTCTCCTTCTTGTTGTTGTTGTTGAATGAGAGTGTTTACAGAAAATGATGAGCCACTAAAAGTGTGAGAAAACTGCTCCGCTTGTTGTTGTTGTTGTTGTTGTGGATTTATAGTGTTGTTGCTAGGATGTGGAATCTCACTGTCGGCGATGGCATTCACCGGGGGAAACGTGGTCACAGTGACCACTGAAGCTGAGGTGGTTGCCGCCGCAACACTCTCATTCACCGCCACCGGAGTTTCACTGGAGTTTGCGTTGAAGAAATTGGTTGAGTTGCACTCGCCCGCACTCGCCGACGACAGCTGATCATTCTCATGGTCAGTGAGGCTGTCATGCACTGAGATCGCCTTGAGGACGTCGTGTCCGTAGAAGACTGTGGAAGCAGTGGACACCTTCGAGCTTGACTTGGTAGAGCACGAAGAGGACCGAGAGGTGCTCGAGGAACCGGTTGATGAGCTGTTCGTTGCCGTCTTCTTCCGCCGCCCATGACCCTCGTCCTCATCTGAAGAGTCACCATCGCTGGAGTACGAAGAAGAGGAGGAGGAAGACGAAGAGGAAGACGAGGCGGAAGAACCAGAATTAGAGGAAGAACTAGAACTGTTTGAGGAGGAGAAGGACGAGTTTGGCTGACGGCGACGAGACCTCCGCTTATGCTTTTGCTTCTCCTTCCGCTGATAGCTATCATAGTTTGCCTTATTGCTTTTGACTTGTCCGGCCTTGGTTCGCCCTCTCTCCACTCCACCCTCGTCATCCGAAGAGGACGATGAAGATGAGTTCGAGCTGGAACCGGAGGAATGTGATTGAGACGAGGAGCTGGCGGAAGAGGAGGAAGAGGAAGAGGAGGTAAATACACATTTTGCAGAATCACAGTTGGCTGGGTTTATCATCATCAGTGCTTGGGTGGCGCCTGGGTGGCTACCACTGTTAGTAGTACTAGTTGGGTCGTAGAGATTGCTAGGAAATGGCTGACTAGATGTGCTTGAAGTGGGCGGCAGAAAGAAGGGCTGCAGCTGATGCCGGGCTGATGCTTTCTCCTTTCGATGTTTGCGCTTCTTCTTGTGTCGATGACTCCTCGATGTCTGCCCACCACTAACAGCAGCATTATTGCCGTGCTGCAGCTGATGCGCCAAAGTGGCCATCTCATTTGGACAGTGGAGATTCAGTGAGGACGACGCAGAAGAGGCGACCACTGCCGCCGCCGCCTGGTTCATCAGAAGACTGCTGATGGCCGCAGATTGCTGCTGCTGCTGTTGCTGTTGCTGTTGCTGTTGTTGATGAAGGTAGGACTCGTGCACTGCCGGCGCACTCGACTGTCCACCACTGAAGTTGCCTGCATGGTGCTGGTGACTGTAGTTGGTGATATTGCAGCTACTTTGGTGAGTTAGGGCCTTTGCCCCTGCACCGGAAGAGGGGACACCAAGGTAGGGAGCTCCAGACAGTCCACCACCGGCAATGGGCACCGACTCGACGACGCTCAGCTTTCGAGTGGAGATAATCACACTTTCCGTCTGTTCCACGTAGTGATGAACCGGGTGGTGCTGGGGATAGCCACTCAGTGGCTGTGGTTGTTGTTGTTGTGGTTGGTAGCTCAGAGAGTGCTGCTGGTGTTGATGTTCAGCTGTCTGCTGCGGCCTCCTCTCCCGATGATGGTGAGATTTCTTTGACTTTCTCTTGGAACCATCAGCAGTAGTGCTCTGGTCCAAGTTGAGATTATTTGAGACGACAGTAGTGGTAGTGCTACTACTGTTGTACAGGTTCGTCTCATGATTGACTGATGGGTGGTGATAGTATCCAGCGCCACCGGTCGAAGCCGAAGAAGAGTAGCCAGCAGATGCTGCCGATGCATTACTCGACTGATTGATAATCTCATTGGTCGAGAGAAGAGTCGAAGTGGAAGAGGTGGAGGTCGCTGAGGAAGATGAGTTGAAGGCATGACTCGAGCTGGCGGCGTCAATGCCCTTTCCCAGTAAGTACTGCTGATGATGGTGGTGGTGTTGGTGATGATGCTGGTGATGGTGGCTCGACTGACCTTGAATTAGATGACCCGACGAAGGAGTCGTTGACATTGCACTGAGGTGAACAACTGGCTCAGGGGTGACCAGTGTCGAGGAAGGAGGGTAATGAGGATTGAGATAGTGATCCATAAAGGATGATGAAAGTGGTGGTGGTGGTGATGGCAGTCATAAACGTGATCACCAAGTAGATACTCATTGCCGGTGAAACATTTTTTTCTGCTAGAGCTGGTGCAAGAGTGAAGAGGAGGTTGCGAATGATAAAATAAAAGAGTCGCCAGTGACTGGATCCAATGCACCGGGCGATGAAAGAAAGAGCGAGGGAGAGTGAGAGAAAGAGAGAGAGAGAGAGTGAGACAGGGTGATCCTTATCGACGGTGTTCGGTATCTAGGCGAGAATACTGCACAACACTGGTGGGAAAAAAGTATAAAGTGAGAGATTAGTAATCGACGGTTACCGGAATGGCGCACACTTGAAGCTAAGCACACAAATCAGTGTCCTCTAATGTTGCTATCATACCTGCATGTGCTGTTGTGGTGATTAATACTGACATTTCGAGGATGAAGTCGGGACTTCTCTCTTTTTCTCTTTTTTGTTCTGTAAAGTTTGTTTTGAAAAAGAAGGAGAAACCGTGATAGAGTGAAAGGAGCACCAATGAGCCAACTGAGCGAGGGACTGCGCCTCGACGATAAATGTGAGCAAATCAACTGTGCGATCAAACGAGGGTCAGATGCGGGCTCTTGTGGGCCATTGACTTGCAGGTTGGCGACAGATAAAGTAGTGAGTGAGAGTGCCTCACCGAGGGCACATGATGTTCCCTCGTCAGTCCGATTACTTCACTGCCACCGTCGACGCCAATGGAAAGTAGAAGGTGCTACTTGGGGCGCAGGCAATTGGTAGGTTTTATCTTAGTCAAACAGTCAAACAGAATAATCGAAAAGGGGGCTGAGTTGAAGGGGGAGGAAGAGTGCTGATCTTGCCAATGTTGCAGCGATTGCGAATCACACTGTACAAATGATGGGGTGATAGCCGGAGTGCTCAATTAGCACACAGACAGTGTGCCGAAGAGCGGAGAGGAACAACAAACAAAACAAGCAAAAGCAAAGTAAATTGTAGCACTATNAGGAAGAGTGCTGATCTTGCCAATGTTGCAGCGATTGCGAATCACACTGTACAAATGATGGGGTGATAGCCGGAGTGCTCAATTAGCACACAGACAGAGTGTGCCGAAGAGCGGAGAGGAACAACAAACAAAACAAGCAAAAGCAAAGTAAATTGTAGCACTATGTTCGTTGGTGGTGCTGGTGCTGGTGGTGATGATGGTGCTGCTCCTTCACAGCGAGTACCACTGCGACGGCGGCTGGCGGCGAGTGCGGCACTGTTTGGCGACAGATTTCACCAAGACGAAGTTTACAACAAAACTTTCCTCCTATACAGCGTCGTCGGTGGCACATCATCGGTGTGCCTGCCTTTGCCTGCTGAACGGCGAAAGGCGAAAATAGGTGCTCTGGACAGTGAAGAGTACTTCGACTGTACACACAATGTGTCTGTGTGCATGTACAGTTACAGTTAAAGAAGAGTGCGCACAGTGTGGGCCCAGCAGAGCAGTCTTCGGCGAAGTGCTACTCAGGCTTCTACTGCTGCTGCTGCTGCTAATCGTCTCAATACTGCCACAATGACAACAATCCACACGGAGCATCAACACACACACAGACACTGTGAGCAGGGAGACTCTCTCTCTCTCTTCAGTCTGGCAGAACGGCGACTTGCCGAGAAAACAGCAGCTCTCTTTTAGTAGTTCCCTTCAGAGCGAAACCACTTGGCG